ACTATAAACTTTATATTGATATCATAAAGACTGAAACATGTAACTATGTAAACCACTAAACAACCCAAAAAAAGGGAACACGGGGCTTCATTGTGTTTACCGGCCTTTCAGATACATCAACTAAGCTAACTCAACTACATGTGTCTGTTTGAATTTATGGTTGATGAAACGCATGAACACATGGGAAGCCCGCCGTTTGCATAAACGCATTCTTATAATCATGGTGACTGCAGGGCTAACAGGGGTAGTGAGAACAGGAGAGACTGGATGCAAGAAGCAGGAGTCGGCCCGGCTGCCGACTGGACACGAGGAGCAGGAGTCCACTGGGTAAGGCAGGCCAGGTAACTGCTGAGCTGTGTGACATATGAAAATGTTGATAGTGATTGCTAAAATTTTTAGGAGGAGTCGCAAAAAAAAAAACTGATTTGGAATAAATTCTAAAAGGTGTAAATGGGAATGGCTTAGATTGATAGATTGGTTTGGACCCACAGAATCCAGGAACAAAATAATTTTCTGTCTTAGACTTATAGTACAAAAACTAAATTTGTTGTTATAGCGCCACCATCTGGCCAACTTCAATTGTCTGAGTGGCGAGTGAAATTTCCAGCCTATCTGCTGAGTTTGAAAACTATACTTTTAGGGCACAAGAACAATAGATACAACAGGCTTCCAGCAGCTTTGCTGCACAGCAAAGAAACAAAACGCACTACGCCAGAAGGCTGCTTCATCTGGGACAAAGAGCTCCTTCTCCTCCAGCCTTCCTCAATATGGGGTAGGGCCACCCACAAATCACCTTATCAGTAGCGCACCTGAGAGAGAGAGAGAGAGAGAGAGAGAGGGGAACACAAGTGTGTAATACCCATTATTATCAATACACTTGAATTTACACACAGGTGTCCCCCACAAGCCCATATTGTACATATACCCCCAACCCCACATGCATGCACACACACCATAGCTCCCTGCCTGCCTTCTGTAAATCCCAGGCTGCTCTGACAGGCTGCATTAAGAAGCGCCTGCTCAGCATGAACACATCATAAAAGTGGACATGCAATTTCTGTTTTCACCAAATAGCCAGCCGAGCTCGTTCTGCACCTCTGATTTTAATACACTCGACAAGCAGCTTAGCAGCCAAGGAGAGAGAGAGAGCTCAAGCCCTGGGGGAGGTGGGGGGAGGGGTGGGGTACGGCTGTGTGTATCTGAGGAAACAGAGGGAGAGAGAGAGAGAGAGAGAGATATGCCTTTCAGCACTGCTAAATCAATTTTTCAATCTGAATTATCAACTAGAATTTGATTAATATGCAAATTCAGAGGGGGGAGGGAGAAAGTCTGGGATGATTCTCTTTGTGGATAGTAATTAATCACCGGTTAAAGTAAATTAATACATATATCAATTTTGTCAGGGACACGCTTAGTTCAATAGCCCGTAAAATTGAAGTTTGAAGTGTTAAGGGGCTCTACAGGAACGTTATAACTAAAACTTTCAAATCCGCTCTATTTAGTGATCAATCAAGCTGTGCCCTGCGGCAGAGGCAGCTCATTTCTTCAGCTCCGTCCTGACACACAGAAACACAGAGCGCAGACGCCTGCTTAACACACTGCTCCTCAGGCAGAGCTACTGCAGACTCACCCAGCCCAGCACAACCCAGGAAAGGACTGGACAGGACAGAACAGGAAAGGACAGGACAGAACAGGAAAGGACAGGACAGGACAGGACAGCAGAGCACAGGACAGGACAGCACAGGACAGGAAAGGCCAGCACAGCACAGGACAGCACAGGACAGCACAGGACAGCACAGGACAGCACAGCACAGGACAGCACAGGAAAGGACAGCACAGCACAGCACAGCACAGGACAGCACAGCACAGGACAGCACAGCCCAGCCCAGGACAGCACAGCCCAGGAAAGGACAGGACAGGACAGGACAGCACAGGACAGCACAGGACAGCACAGGACAGCACAGCACAGCACAGGACAGCACAGCACAGCACAGGACAGCACAGCACAGCACAGGACAGCACAGGACAGCACAGCACAGCACAGGACAGCACAGGACAGCACAGGACAGCACAGCCCAGGACATGAGAGCCTGTGTTCACTGATTATTAGATGTAACTGCTCAAAGCATGGTGTATTATTTGTACTATAATAATGGATGTATGTTTATTATCATTGTAATAACAATAATAAACAATGTATCAATATTTTATTAGTAGTAATAATAATAGTGCTTATTATTAGATTATTAAAACTACAACCAATAATGTATATGATACAGTAATTATCCCATTTCTTAATTGTAGTAAAAATAATAAAAAAAGCATTCTACTACTACTACTATACTTCTATATCATTATTAACAATAATAATAAATAAAATGGTACTGATCTCTATGGGAAATTGATAATAATTTAAACAACATTAAGCAAAGCTAAAATTGACAAATACAATTTATAAATCTCACATCATTTGCATATAATACTTTCTAGTACTCCTACTGCTGTTAATAATAATAATAATAGTTGTAGTAATAATACTAATCAATATGTGATTACTGCTACCACTAACATATATGAAGCAGTAATTATCCCATTCCATAACTGCAGTAAATGAAATTTAAAAAAAGTGTTTTACTACTACCATACTCATTATTAACAATAATAAATAAAACAGTACAGATTTCTATGGGAAATTGGATAAAAATTTTAATAACAATAAGCAAAGCTAAAATTGACAAATGCAATTTAGAAATCTCACATAATTCGAATGCAATATTTTATCATACTACAACTGCTGTTAATAATAATAATTTGTAGTTGATATAACAATGAAGATGAATAATTCTCTTGTATATAAATATATTTGTCATTGTGTTGGCAGCTCTCAGATGCTAGCAGCCAGTTTAGAGGTCCACCAGGAAGAAAGGGAGGGGGGGGCGGTGTCAGGTCCAGTTGTTTAAGCAGGGGGCCATGCATCAAACTTCAATTTTCCGGCCGATTGAATAAATGATTCTCTTCTCTCTTGTGTGTGTGTGTGTGTGTGTGTGTGTGTGTGTGTGTGTGTGGGGCTGCAGTGTTTGGCCAACATCTCCTTCCTTAAAGTAACACAGTTTTCCAGCAGTGTGCTTCACGTGTACTAATGAAAAGCTAAAACACTCAGAATGTCCCTGCCCAGAGCATCATGCGCCAGCTTTCTGCACAGGCACACAGGGAGTATACTGTGTACAGAAGGCCTATGTGCAGGGTAGTAGATTAAGTAAATAAAGAAAAGAAACCATATATCTAATAATGGAGAAACCATGGAGAGAACATATGTTTTTCTTTTCTTTATTTATGCACTTACATTTCATTTCATACAGTTCCTCAACTAACATTATTATTTATAGTAGGCCTACCACCTAGATTCTGTCATTGAAATGTTTAGTAGGTTATTTGAAAGAAACATCATATGAACAATTGTTCATTTCTTTACATGAAAATGATCTCATTTGAGTTAAAAGCTCCAAGAAAAGTGGACCTTGAGTTAAGATTTTTCTGGTCAAAATCAAGTAATTGCATGGGTACACTGAGTCCCAGTAAGAAATATAAAAATATGCCAATGCCAATATACCCCAATTGAATTAAATGATATGAGATGATATGTTCCTAATTGTATTTGTATTTATGTGTAGAAACGGACTTGTTGCTATCTGTTTATTTGGGCGAACTCTGGTCTCAGTAACTGCAGACTACATGAGCAAAAGGCTGCAGATATCTGATGAAAAGCAGAATGATGAAGTGTGAGATTGAGAGCGCTGTCATCTTCAAGTCAATTATTTTAACGCTCCCGCACGGACACGAGGCTCTGACCAGCCCACCGAGCTCCATTCACATTCATGGCCGTGTGTTAACGCAGTGGGCCCGGACACCAGCGAGGATGTCTGCATTGTGTGGGACAAAAAGGGGCCCTATGTCGCTGAAAAGACGGGTTAAGTTAATCAATCAAAGTGACTCGTAAATGAGAGGAGAACCCTGAAACCATATGGCCTCTGAAACACTCTCCTGGCCGCCTTTGTGCGCTGAGACCCGCCGGACAGATCGGCGGGGAGAAACGCTTGTCTCCGTATTGCGCGCTGCTGGAGAGAGGCCCCCGGGGAACACACACACACACACTCACACACACACACACACACACTTCAGGGCCTCTTCTCGCTCCAGATTGTGTTTCCCACAGAGAAAAATTAAAATACACACACGATGTCAGAGGGCAAGTTGCTGTTGTAAATGGATTTGGCAAACGTCGCTGTTTCTGCGCCACAATCCTCCCAAACCCACGAAACCTCTACCCCGAGCAAAACTATGATGAGGCCCCAATGACGGCATTAAAAACGACAGGTTCATTTTGTCGTATTCCATAGAAATAATTTAAATAAATGTGTGAAAGGGAGACTATTTGAAAATGTTTTTTATTTTACATGGTCAGTTTACATTACACTTTGTACAGTTAAACGTGTTATGTGTTTTCTAAAGGCACTTGAAGGTTTACAAAGCATTATAAATATATTAAATTGAGATTTATTACAAGCTATTAGCTACATAGATTTTCTGTGTGTGATTATCATTTCAGAACAATTGACATATCAAAAAGCTGAACGCTTAAAAAACGATTTGTAGAAGCTTTCCCAACCATTTCAAAATAAAAGCATGCGGTGAAATATTTTAGCGATTGACCAGAATATCCAGCCGGCTCGTGTGTGTTTGAGTGTGCACCTTGTTTGCTTTTTTGCGTTTTTACTTTTGAATGTCTCTCTGTCACGCCCTGTGTCACGCGTTTTCTGGGCGCGCGCCTGGTCATCAGCAGAAAGCAGTGGGCCCGTGGCTTCTGTCAAATCAAAGCGCTGTGGCTGTTGTCTCTGGATAGTTTGACCGCATCGCTGCGTGTGCTTGTAAAGCTAGGTGTTCTGTCTAGAAACATCGCGTTATTTGGCACTCCACACCGTGGTCTCGGTCACCATGGACATATGCAACTTCAGTCATCCACGTCAATCTCCTCATCCTCCTCCTCCGAGCAGCACTTGCTGCTCAGCCGGCCCGTGCACCACGACGATGCGGGGGAAAGAGGCGAACTGTGCGGTCTGCCGGAGTCGAGGTTCTCGGTGGTGTCGTGGTGGGACCTGGCAGAGACCGGGTTCGGCTCGGTGTGGCCTGGCGCTGAAACCATCCCTCCAGCAGCGCACTTCTCTAGCTCGGCCAGCTTGGAGAGCTTCTCAAAGGCCACACAGCCCGAGGCCTTGGCGGACTCCACGTCCGCTTTCATCTCCTCCAGGTCCCGCTTGAGCTTGGCCCGCCGGTTCTGAAACCAGGTGATGACCTGCGCGTTGGTCAGACCCAGCTGCTGGGCGATCTGGTCCCGGTCCGCCGGGCTCAGGTACTTCTGGTACAGGAAGCGCTTCTCCAGCTCGTAGATCTGGTGGTTGGTAAACGCCGTGCGGGACTTCCGCCGCTTCTTAGGTGTGTTCCTCTGGCCGAAGAGCGTCAGACCGTCTCGGCCTGTGGGAAAAGGGATATATTGGGTCATTTAGGCTAAGGCACAAAAAATAATATTAAAACATGAACGGTTCATGTCCACAAGCCTTTAGCAATGCACCTGCGTCCCCAAGCCACCAAACACTTCACAGCCACTCCAAAATAAAATACTGCCCAAGTAGAATGACTGCTGTATGACTCTTTTAAGTCTAGACAGTGTGATCAATTATCAGATGTAGCTCATAAAAAATACACACACACACAATAGGCTATATATAAAATTCTGTATTATTTCCAAAGATAAAATTTATAATTAAAGATAACATTATAATTGTTATTTATTAAAGTAAATTGTAAATATGGAATTGATGATGCTAAACCAGATATTAGTCTCAAAAACATCCTCTACAAATACTGTTTCTTGTATGTCCATTCCAAATTTGAATTAGAAAATTGGTTTAGATTATACACTTATTTTCATTTGTATGAAAATAACTTTAGGGTGATTTTAGGCTACATTTCAGTTAAATATATTTCTTTGGTAATGCCCTATGTAACAATGTTACACATTAATAATAGCCTACATAATAATACATAGCCTACAATGTAAATGCAATTCAAACTTGATAAGGAGCCTTCTGTAAATATAGCCAATAATAATAATAATAATAATAATAATAATAACCTTTTTGTTTTATTTTCCAGAAATTATATATTTTTGCTTTTAGTTTTTTACACAAAACAAGTCGCAGAGTATTCTAGAATCACAAACTAAAAATATTTATAAATAAATTTAAATTTATCTCGTTTTGTTTATCTCTCCAAAGCACGCGGGCTCGAACTGTATTTTTTCTGAAAAGAAAATTATGATTTTAAATACTAGCTGCAACAGCGTGGTGTTTACAATTCACATAACAACAAGATAACGAACTGAAGAGAAGCATGAAAGTCCTTTACCCTCGGCAGCCTGCAGGACGCTGACCTCCAGGCCCTTGAAGGTTTTGCTGGCCAGCTCCTCGAGCGCGCAGAGCGGGGAGGTTTGACTGAGCACCGCCCGGCCTGACAGGCGGTGACCCGCCGAGGGAGAGATGTGGCGCTCCACCCCGCTCAGGGAGTAGCTCCTTTTCACTGACGGCTTGTTGAGGATGTCCTCGATGCTGAAAGGTGTCAGCGGCTTGTTGGAATGGCCGGCGGCGGGAGCTGATCCAGCGGACTGCGCCTCCGCTCCTCCAGCACTGCTGGGCATTTCGAGTCGTCCTTGGAGTTCATGGCGGCTCGGCGGGTCACACCTGACTGTGGCAATTTAGACAAGAGCGATTCAAAGCGGGGACAAGCTGCCAGGCTGCGGTGAAGTTGTACAAAGAGAGATAACAGGACGGCAGCTCGGATCACAGGTGTCTCTCCAGCCGCATGTTGGCCGCTGAGCTGCAGGCTGCATGGACACTTCTGACGTCCAGACCCACCACGTCTCCGAGCCACTTTTCCAGGGTGACGCACAACAAGGCACGAGCCGAACCCATCCGGTGGTCGGTGATGCACCAAAAGCAGCAGCGTTTGACCACCAGTAACAAGTTACTGCTGACTGGAAGACAATCAATTATTCTCTCTCTCGCTCTTGCGCGCGCTCTCTCTCTCGCTCTCAGAGTGTGTGATGCAGTCAGATACCGGGGAGCGGTAATTAGAGGGCACGGCGGAGAGGAGGAGTCCAATTAGAAAGTGGAGCAAGCCCACTTAACACTTTCTCTCTAAAATTAGATAATTTGTCACAAAACAAGGAAATGTTTCTCTCCGCGTGATTTTATCCTCATTTGCATACATGGCGTAATTGGCACCGCGCGTTTGAACACCGGGTGAGCTCGTGCCAATGTGGGTAAACCCGCTCCGCGTCAATCTCCTGCCAATTACACTCAGAAACACAAATAATGAACTCTCATCAAGCCGTTAATCGAAAAATATCACTGCTAGTGGAAAATCAGAGCATGCACTGTGTTGTGTAGAGAGAGCCATAAATCAGCATGATGACACTTGAGAGTGACAGAGGAGGCCATCACCCTGGCCTGAGACCCCCCCCCCCAAACAAAACAAATCAACAAAAAAAACAGCATCATATATTATAAGTCAACAGCAAAGAGCCAGGACACACATATAATAACACCTTTTGCTTTCTGAAAATACCTTCAATGTGTTGCAGGTATTTTCATGTATTCTCCCTTTATAACTTTGCTTTTTAAAAATATAGAAGTGGTGAACATAAGGTAAATCAAACATAAATCAGTTCGAGAAATGCCATTTCTCAAACTGATTTCTCCTGAAAACATTCTGCTCTCATTATGAAGCAATCTGAAACAAACATGTCCTGATGCCTTATCAGAACTTCTTTAGATCAAATGTTCCATGACAGTTGGCTGGTGGTTTTACTTTGAACAAAATATATATCTTCTCTGAAGAGAATTGTTTGTTTGTTACAATTTTTAATGAAACAAGAAATTTCAACATTTCAAGGCAATTGTTTATGTTAGACCATTTCATTTTTTTATTTCAAAAAGTTTTGCCTAAATTAAATGTCTAAACTTAGAAATGTTTTTTGTGCCTGAAATCAGGGAGTGTCTGAGCAAACAATAAGCAAACAAAGCAGAGAATCTGGCAAAGCATTCAATGGCAGCTTTTGATACTTGACACTGTCTTGACTCCAGATGTACTGAGGTTTGATGGCCAGCCTTAAGAACTCAGTGTTCTCCAGCAGAATTTTATTCCAGGCAGTGTGGCGCAATCAGACCTTCATTTAGGGAAATAAAACTAAATAACCGGGGAGGGGGGGTTACATTGACTCTCAGCATGGAAACAGATGCAGAGGCCTGGCAGCAGTCAGCGCATTACTGCACTACCTCACCCACCACAGTATTACAAGACAAACATCTGCTACAGCTACTACTAGTAGTACCACCATTACCAATATTTGTTAATATCAAAAGTAAGAATGGCAGTACCGCTGGTCATGAAGTGACGTTAAACCAGAACAGAATTTACTTATTTAGAAATTATTCCGCAATGTCAGCCATTAGATTTTTTTATTTTGTAAAAAAAAACACAATTTGACAAAAAAAAGAAGGAAAAAAAAGAAAAGGGAAAAACCCATAAAAACCCTCATGGTCCAATTTATGGCTTCTTGCCAGAGATAAGTCTTCCTCAGCAGATTCAGTTTACAGCTTTATTTTTACTGAACTTTCATACTTACAGAAACATTAAACTGATGACCCCCTTCAAAATTAGGAAAGAAATACAAATAAAGTCAATATGAAAGGATTAGTTCACCCAAATTACTAACACACATTTCCCCACTATGGTTGATTTTTTAACAGAAAAATGATCCTTGTGTGACCAATTGTACAATAGCAACAAAAGCAATAACAATCATGGTAACAGTTCCCATAGAGGTTCATGCATTTATAGAAGTTATCCAAAGTTGATAGACAGACAGATAGATAGATAGATAGATAGATTTGTCCATTAGTTGCCCCACAGCTAAACATTAGTAGCAGTCAATAAAAAAGATGGATGACTGATTAAGTGAGTTTAGGGAGGCCATCTGCAGTCACAGCCTTTTGGAGCTCTGACAAAGTCCTCGGACAGTTTTATTTCGTAATTTAGTCCTGCTTTGGTCATGCTGTGACATTTGATTATACGCCTTGTCTTGGATCTTTTCAGAGCGGGCCTCCCGCCTGCACCCTCACCCGTTTCATTCTCCATCAGTGAGCTCGACATCCGCACTGATGGATGTGATGTCTTCATCTGATACCCGCTCCCAAATGGAGAAACATTCCCTTTTCCACGTAGGTTTTAATTTCATCTTTGGGAAGTGTGCTCTGTAAAGTGCCGATGTGGGGCCCTTAGCTACTCTGCTGTAAATATGGACCCCTGTGGCTGTGCAGGCCCCCACTGACTTAGCTAACATTAAAGAGCTGCACAAATCTATAAAAATGAGCTTAGGTTTCCCATGTTTGAGACGGTCTCCCTTTAGCTGTTAACCATAATAATCAGAAGTGCTGGAAACACAACTGCTAAAAGATTCAAACTTTATTCACAGTAAACTTGACTCAAACTTGACTTGCACACTAGATGAAGGGGACAAAATAGACAAATTATAGCATTGTTATTACACAGATATATTTTACAAATATATGTCCCTAATATTTGGGCTAAATTACACCCCAGAAATGACTGATAGCCTGGTTGACCTCTTATAAACAAGTTGTTCCAGTAGCAGAAGTCTACGTAGACATATTTGGCGTTAGGGAAGAGCAGTGCTGTGCAAAAGATTCTGTCAACATTAATCACAGAGCAGATGAAATTACACTGTATTTAACCCGTTTTGTCAGCTGGGGTCTCTGATACGGAAGTAATGAGTCATTTTCTGAAGCAGACTTCTGAAATCAGTTGGTATTTTATTCACATCTTATAGTGCATCTTTGACTGTATAAATTATCTTTATGCACTTCTAACAGGAAAATCAGCATTTTGTGAGTTTCGCAAAGATGAAAATAGTCTTGGAAACACAACATAAAATACACTCAGAGGCTACTTCATTGTTTTCTGTTATTGTATTAAAGAATGAATGACAGCATTGATTTGATTTGTAGTGCCTGTCTCTCTGCTTACTTCTGAATCACAGATTGTGCCCTTTAAGCCCCAATGTAAATTTCAATTTTTGTGATTGCAGTTTTTAATTGAGTGAATGAAGTCTTTATGATTCCAATATCTTTCAGGCTGTGGAAAAGAGACAATTTTGATGAAACTGGTCAAGTCACGAGAAGTCAGAACGATGTGTCCTTCAGTCCTTTATGCTCGCTTAAGAGTACATCCACAAATAACGTTTTTATCCTCTAAAACAGAGTTCAAAAAAAACCATGACGTAAGTTGTTGGCCAATGAGGGTTGGGGCTCTGTGGCAGTGAAGTTAAAGAGACAACCTTCTGTGGTCTTTCTCTGTGATCACACATTTTAAACGTCTGATCACACAGCTCAGCTGTGCACTAACCTGGCTTTATGCGGATTTTGTCAGATGACGTTGCGACTAAAATAATTATTTTATCAACATGATGTCTGTCCCCTCCACACTAGATGTTGGCTGTGGTGCAGTTATGTAGTTTTCCAACTGACATTTTAACATGTGAAAAGAAAATATTGTCATATGTGAACTGAAGACTGGAGAACTAGAGAGAGAATGGCTTTTTTCACATCACATACACATCAATGGAAGTTTGTATGTAAGAAGTGTACACCTTCCCATGTGAATTCCACATTTTCACAGGTACTGGCTTCTTTACATGAGAAGCGTGAATTAAAACACACATGTAAATAATAAAAGGAAATAATATCCATGAAATGTTAATTATATGTTGCCTGAATATCATATTTCCACATTATAACTGGAACTCTGATAAGAACGCCCATGCACATGTTCCTTAATCTTGAGGGATTCTGACCCAAAATGCAGGACATACAATCCAAATACAAGAGTCCAGGAAATACTGCAAAAAGATCATCCACATGGGAAACACGAAGGAGAACACTAAAGTGACCACAGCAGAAGTCCAAATCCAAAACACAGGGGAAAAGGCTGGAAAGCTTGACAAAAGAGAAGGGGGAAAACACTGACTGACAGGTTAAACTCATAAGGGTGAAGCAAACAATCCTGAATGCTCACTTCAGATTTATTTCCAAGATAAGATTTTTTTTTATTATTGACAATTCACATTATTATTTAAATGTGGACCATATCAAGATCCATTTCGTATAACAAAAATGGTTACCACCTCACAATAAACAGTTTAACAAATATATATATAAGTATATATAAGGCCATATTCGGTTACAAGTTGTTTTGTATAACTTGAAATAATGTACAGTTAATGGAGTTAAACAAATGAAAAGATGTGTATAATATTGGCATAGAAATGTGTTCAGGACAGGATTGTCATCAACCATGTACTTGGTGGCCAAAGGATTTTGGATTTGAAATGAAAAAACAGAAAACAGAATACAACCATTTTTCAATTTTTGTTCTGACATAAAAAGACGAAAAAAGAAAGAACAACCTGTCATTTGATTTTATATGCTTATAGAGGGAAATCGGAAATTAACACGCGTGTATAAATCTTATTCCTCAATTTTGCGTTGTTTATTTTTCGTGACTCGGAAGCTATCGTAAGTAGAAAGCAGTTGTATGCTGCATACTCAGAAGTCAGGAGTTTGGAGTTGTACTATGAGATGGATGTAAAAATGTTTTTGGACAAATATGCAAGTTGTATATCAGAAAACCGAAAAAAATGGGATGTCTTGTGGGGATATAGCGCTGAAGGTTTTGCTGAGATATTTTTGTTTTTTTTATCATCTGCCGTTTACCGCTTTTATTAAACATACAAATTAATGCTACTCTTAAATTAAATAAAAAGCTGACTACAGCTTTGTGCAGATTAGGGTTAGGCCTATGTAATTTTTAGATTTAATTAGATCACCAAACATGTTGGTTGTATATCAACAGAGG